GTTGTTAAAGTAATTATTTTTAGCCTTTCGATATCGTTTTACAAACTTCCATCAGTCAGTGGCCTGGTTACTCGTTGTTTGTCACTCGAAAGTCTTATTATACCTATTATGTTATTATAATACGAAGTGTAAGAGGACTCACAAAAGATCGTTCCACGGTTTGTTTAAATAATATATTTTAGAAATGTATTGGTTTTAAAATGATGTGTGTTTTGTAAAAATATTTATTAATTGTTCACAGCCACTTTTTTTTAATAGAATAAAATATTTTTTTGATTTTCAACTTAGAGACTGGTTTTTTACAGAAAATTTGAATTAGTTGGTAGTATGGGTAGCCAAAAGGTTAAAATCCTTTTCATAATATAATATAGAATTACAAAAAAAAAAAGAAAAACACATAGTTCAAATTTATTTATCTATAGATTGAGGTACAATCAACATCTATAAGTGGTTACACAACTTGCAGCTAAGTGGTTTCGCAACATAACGGCTATTTCACATTGGTATCGTTTTATGAAAGTTTGTACAGTTTATGGGTTAAAAATTGTATGTAAGCTATCTGCAGAGTTATCTCTAAAGTATACCAATTATTATCAACTGCTATAATCATCCGTTACCAACCTACTTATTTATAAATATTTTAGTTATTTTTCCGAAATATAAGACTGTTCACGGTTCACGGTCGCGCTTTCGGGTCCACATCGTATCTCTGTGATTCTGCGAATCGGGTCTCAGCAGACAATGTATCACGCTCAAAATTGTAATGCCATTTTGCAAAGTTGGAATGGATAACATTATTTTTAAGCGACCAAATAATTKTAAAAACGCTGCCGATATGCGTTTAAATCTGATAACCGGTCGAGGAAYAAAATCCGAAATACGAAAGAAAATTTGGTATTTTAATGTTAGACAGACTCTTGATTTATTTTCAAACATTACTATGCACKTCCAAAAGATAGATAGATAGAGAGAAGAGAGAGTGAAGAGACAGACAGACAGAATACAAAAATACAAAAATATAAAAACTTAGTTAACATGTAATCGTTTTTCTGTGCGTTGTGGGCGCGTGTTCTGGGAATAACAATATATTGATACCTAGAAGATGGTATTGTTACTGTTGTTGCTTTTGTTTTAGATATCATTTTTCATTGTTATTATAATGGACTACAATTTTTGTCTCTCTATCCTTTTTTCATCAAACATTTTAAATGACAAAACAGTGAGTTACGATGTATAATATTATAATTAATATACGCCTGTTCTACTATTAAAATATTGAGGTATAAAATAAACATAATATGTATCCGAATCCGCAATGCATGAAGTACCCATTTTTTTAAAGTTTTTTCTCTCCACTGTAAGAACTTATTTTTCCATCTTAAATCTCGTCGATGAATACTGTCGTTCAGATGTCAAATAATAACCATTTTTGTGTATAACTGCTATACCACCATAATTCATATTAAAATGTGTTGTTAATTTCAACGTATATATATATNTTTTAGATATCATTTTTCATTGTTATTATAATGGACTACAATTTTTGTCTCTCTATCCTTTTTTCATCAAACATTTTAAATGACAAAACAGTGAGTTACGATGTATAATATTATAATTAATATACGCCTGTTCTACTATTAAAATATTGAGGTATAAAATAAACATAATATGTATCCGAATCCGCAATGCATGAAGTACCCATTTTTTTAAAGTTTTTTCTCTCCACTGTAAGAACTTATTTTTCCATCTTAAATCTCGTCGATGAATACTGTCGTTCAGATGTCAAATAATAACCATTTTTGTGTATAACTGCTATACCACCATAATTCATATTAAAATGTGTTGTTAATTTCAACGTATATATATATGAAACAGTTTTCGACGTTGTATCGGTTGTAAACAGAAAAAAGAGAGATGTACAAATTTTAAATGCATATGCATCATAACATACACCCTGAAAAACCTATGTTATGTCGAAAATTATGTTAAATAATATAAACCAATATAATTATATTAGAATATATAATAATAATGTATAGTWATTAATAGTAAATTATACTTGAAAAGTTAAAACCAAAAACAGTCATCTCTTATTGTGTGTTACAATTATTATTAGAAAACCAATACAATTTTTTAATTATTTATTTTCATTGTGTGTGTTTACAGTGTGGATGGAAACGAAAACCGATTTCTCAGAGAGTTCGTGGGCTGTGTGCCGCATTCTGCCGGTTGTCGATTAGCCAGGTGGCTCCAACCAGAGTCTGTCATCGAACCGGATTCTTGTGAGCTTTCGCTGTCCACGGTCGAGGTGAGGTGTGGATGGCCGGCCAAATTCACCGTCCGGACGCGTGACCAGTACGGTAATCCAGTTCAATCGATCGGGTTAAAGGTAATTAATCTTTACCTCTAAATTCCAATGCTTAACMAAGAAATGAGTTTCTTAACCTATTTTAATTGAAATGAAGTTTTGTAACAATATTCGAGTAGGTATATATTTTTTATCGCGAAAAGTAATCATTTAAGTATATTGTATTTCGACACGAGGTAAATTTCAAGAGTGTGATGTTAACAACAAATACTTCTTGTTCTGTTGCATTCCAAATTCATAGAAACTATTATCTATGTGGAAAATGCATTCATTGAATGGCAGAATTCTAACAACATGTATTCAGCAATAATGTATCAAATTATAAGTRTTCACTTTTTACTCTTTTGTAAAGGGGTGGGCGCATATTCCCTTATTTCTACCAACTGTACCATTAGAAAAAATACGGAGTCAAGTTCACGGTACATCGTTTCTTTCATTAGCGATTGAAATAGGTAAAATAATCCATTTTAATAATTGTATTACTGTCATTTTACGGGTTTTGTTATTTAAAAATACGTAAGTATATATTCTTTTGAATGTTATTTCGTTTATTATTACTTTTTAAAAGCAAAACTATTTAGTTTATTCTTTTTTATTTGTAATATGATATAACAAGCTGTGTTAATGTTTCATACAAATTATAAAATTAGTGTTAAATAAGTCATTAGGAAAACATAATGAAATATTGTGGGTTACGTTGAATGCGATTCTATGAAAAAGGTTTTAGTGTATTTAATTTATATAATAATAATAGTAATAGCAATTAGATACGTTTAACATTATTGTTTTACGCTTGGGATATTTTTACTTTTAGTAAAGCTTATTTGTTTTTTAATTGAACGTTAAAAACTCTATTTTCAATTAAAATTAATAAAATTTTATATTCAAACTTTAATTAGTATTTAAAATACACATAATACGA